CCTCTGCCCAGGGAGGCTCCCAGGAGCAGAGCGGGCATCCCCACCAGGAAGTCTGTGCTGGTCCGGCTGCTACCCAAGAGCATATTGCCGGAAACGGGACAGGGCGTGGGAGCAGATGGCCAGCAAGCGCGAACCGTCCCCTTATGACAGCAGAGTGTGAGTGTGTGTGTGTGTGTGTGTGTGTGTGTGTGTGTGTGTGTTCCCATGCTAGAAAAGGAGCTTGGTTTTTATCAGTTTCCTAAACAGTAATCCTTGACCTAAAGACTACTTGAGCCTGTGTGGCGGCTTGAAAAGCTGGCAGAAACCCACAGAATTACTACCTCATGACGTGATTTGGTAGACCCTGGTTATGTGTGTCAGATGAGGTAAACAGGTCCTATTCCCATTAGGACTTCTGCCCGCCCCCACCACCCCCTACTACTTCCTTCCCAGGGACTGGCTCAAAGGCAGCATCTCTGGCCCCAGAGAGTCAGGTTAGTGAGACATTATGATGGAAGGAGAGAGCTGTCAGACCCCAGGAACACTTAAGGATGAACACTGAAAGTTGGACCAGTCTATCCCTGAGTAAAGATGAAGAGGTGGCCTCCTACTCTAAAGAGGGAGCCCCCACCACCACCGTCACCACCAGCCGGTTACCTCAGGGGCTGCCAGCCAGGCCTCTGGGAAGTCCCTAGAGCCTAGTTTTCCACAGCCATCCCTGAGGGTGGGCAGCAGTTTGGCTGCAGAGTCCTGTGTCACTGCCCTCTAGAGTTGTTTCCGCACTTGCTGCAGAACTCCCTGGGGGCGTTTCCACACTTCCACTCCCCAGGGGAACTTCCACTGCTGCTAACCCAAGTGAGGTGTTTCCATACTTGTTGCTACCTTCCCCAGCCCTGGGGATGTTTTCACACTTTCCACTGGATCACCTACCTGTCAGTCTTTCCTCTGTACCCTGTCAATCTTTCCGCTCTAGCAGACCCACAGTGGGCTGAGAGGGAAGTGGCCTCTGGCTTTCCTGGTGGGATGGGTGGGAGGGGTTACGAGTGGGGAAAGTACCTTTAGTGCTTGCCTATAATGATCCACACATCCCAGCACATCTGTAGCCGCAGGGAGCTAATGACTCAGTTACCAAATATCCAGAAAGTTGGGCTCCTCCTGAAGGAAGGGAAGGTTGGGGCCTTGAGGAGGCACACCCTACTTCCAGGAACCTCCTACTTCAGTGAGAAAGAGCTATTTCAGGGACCGACATCCTGAACCAGCCCATTTTTTTTTAAACTTGAGAATCAGAGAGGACCTAAGTTTAGCCAGAGACACACAGCAAGATGAGGACAGGGGAGACCTGGCCCCAAGCCACCGGTGTACACAGCAGAAAAACTACAGCAAACAGTGCCAAGAAGATAATGGTATGTGTGAGGGGGTCATCAATAGACACTGCCCAGGACAGTCACCGCCCATCTGAGGGCCTCTCTGTTCAGCTGTAAAGGGTGTAGGGTTCAGCATGCATTTACAGGGCACCCACTGTGGATCAGGGCCTGTGCTCAAACTCAACTTCACTGCCATGGGGTCTATTCCAACTCCTCACAGCCCTACAGAGCAGAGGCGAACCTCCCCTGTGGGTTTCCAGGACTAAATCTTTACACAAGTACAGTGCCTCGTCTTTCTCCTGCAGAGTGTGGATGGGGGTTTTGAACTACTGATCTTGAGATTAGCAGCTCAGCCAAACCCATAACCCACTACACCACCAGGGCTCAGGTCTCTGCTAGGCCTCCTCAAATGACAGAGAGGGAGGCTCAGGTAGAAAACTCCCGGCTAGAGGTCACACAGCAAGTTAAGTGATAGAGCCAGGACAGACAGCAGCACCAGTCAGCCAGGGCCCGCCCCCTCTCCTGACCACTGGGAAAGCCTCCAGGATTTTCTTTCCCAGCCCCAAAAGCTTCCTGGTTCTCACATTCCCAGCTCTGCTCCAAGGAGAACCACCCCCTTTAATAGCCACAGCAGCTGTGCTCAGAATAGCACTTGAGCCTGAAGCCACTTCTACCCCAGCCTGTCTTTGAGCAAAACCCAGGCTGGAATGGGATCCTGGTCCAGCCTCTAGGTGCATCCACTTAGTGTCAGAAGCTTTCCTCCTACCCTTAGATCAGACAAGGGTAGCCTAACTCTTCTAACCACCCACACTAGATCAGCTCGTGTCTGTCCCTCATAGCTGACAACTCTGGGGGTAAAAGAGGGGATGAATGGTGCTCTCACCCACACACACACCCCATCATCAGCCCTGCAGACACCCCAAGCCAATGACCCGCCTTTCTGTAGTCAAAATAGTGAGGAGGAGGTGAATTTATTAGGATCTGGGACTCCAAGATGTAGATATAAGGGCAGGGGTCAGGGCCACAAGAGAACCAATTTCCAGAGGTCCCTAGACAAAGATCCAAGAACGAGAAAACAGAGGAGCCCTATGAAATGAAGGTGGTGGGCAGCGTTTCCCACTGGAAGGGGGATATGTAGCTTGTTACTTGTTTTGACCATCTACTACCTACCTGCCCATGGATAATGCATCTGTCACTCACTTATTGGATATGACTCTAATTGACTGGGTGACACATCCCTCCTTGGGGCTCAAGCCCCTCATTCTCAAAATAGGGTCTAAATTCTGTGTTGTGAGATTAATGGCATGACGTCAGGGATTACAACCAAAACCAGACAGACTGCCCTCTAGTTAGGTCTGACAGAGTAGAACTGCCCGAGGGTTTCCAGGGCTGTAAAGCCCATATGGGAGCAGCCCCTTTCCACATCTTTTACCCCTGGAGGGCTGGAAGCTTCCAACCACTGATGTTGGTTAGCAGCCTAGAGTTTAACCTCTGCGCCTCTCGGGCTCCTGGTCAGGGATTAGGAGGATGTTGTTTTGTTAGCCTCTGGGGGGCGGGGCCTGGAGCTGGAGGGCGGAGATTCCGCCACCATCTGGCGCTCCTCACCCCCGACCTGAAGCCCGAGGTCGCCACGGAGCTCCTAACAGTCCCCCAGCTACAAACCACAAGCACCATCCCGCCCCCTCCCAAACCTTAAAGAGAAAGCAGCAGGACAGGCGGCCTGACCTCAGCCCCTGACTCAGCCAGGAAATGGCTGAGCCTCCTCTGGTCCAGCCGTCTTTGCAGGGATCCTCACCCTTGGGCTCAGCCCCGACCCTGCGCCCACCGGGTCACCGGAGGACAAACGACTCAATGTAGGGGGTGGGGCCGGCCTTGGTGACGTCTCAATGTCATATGCAAATAGGGCGACGTCAAGGTCTACCGGGCGGGTGGCAGCCTATCGCGAACGGGGAACGCAGCCCCAGCGGCCAGCGGCGAAGACAAAGGCCCGGGAGCTGGGGGCGCGGGGCGTGTCCTGGGTGCTGGGCACCCCTGGGCCGGGGCTGCTCGGGACTCACCTGGGGCAGGGGCGCGCGGCAGGCGGGACGCGGTGAGGTAGTGGGACGGCCGAGCGTTCCGGGCTCGGCGGCTGCTCACAGGCCGAGCCGCATCGCGGCGATCGGCTGGGGAGGCGGCAGCGCGGCGAGGCGGCCGGAGCGCTCCGGCTGCTGCGCTCGCCCGCGGGGCTTGGAGTCTGCAGCCGCTGCGGCTGGGCTCACGGCACAAATTGGAAGGTTCAAACAGCTGATTGTGACGTCACAAAGGGGCCCGCCCGCCTGGCGTCACCCTCCAGCCGAGCGACGGCCAATCCTAGGCTGCGGATCCCCTCCGCCCCGCCTCCTGCACGGTTCGCTGCCCGTGGCTCCTGCCCGCTCGCCCGGCTGCCGGCGTCAGGGGCCAGTCTGCGAGCCACTGGGGGCTGGACCCTCCCGCCCCACGGTTACTCAGACCTTGCAGTGAGGAGGGTCCCCACTCCTTCCTAGGGAATCCCCATCTTCCTGCACCCGCTGCACACAAACCTGCATCTTCACCCCTCTCACGACCCCCCATCTTTTCACCCGTTGACCTGCGTCCTCCATCGCAAGACGCCCCATCCCACCCCCACCCCCGTCTTTCTTAATACCCTTCCTTTACCCACACCACGTCCGTCCACATCTCTTCTCACCACCTTTCTGTCTCGCCGCCTCATTCCTATACTCACCCTGCTTCCCACCCCATTTTGTTCCTCAGCAGGTTCAGAAGGGGAACAGCCCCACACCCCACCCCAACCCCGCTCATCCCTGGTTCCCGGGGAGTCCCTAGGAATGTAGAGAAGTAGGTGAGGCTGCAGATTTAAGAATTGATCTAGACTGAAGAAACAGTGACCTCAAGCCTGCTCTGTGCTGGAATAGTTAGAGACATTATTTAATCACGATGCTGCTGGGGCAGGGATTATTAGTCTTGATTTGCCCGTTGGGAAACTGAGGCCCACAGATCTGCCTGTATGTGGAGTCGTTTGAAATAATGCATTCAACATTTAGTGAGCACCAACGATTGCCACTGCCAGACCACTAGCTGAACCACTGATTGAGCACTTACTGTGTGCCAGGCACTGTGCTGTGAGGCTTTGTGTGAATTTTTTTTATTTTCACGACAATCCCTGTAGGTGAGCATTATCTCTATATTAAGGTTCAAGAAAATGAGACTCAGAGAACCTACCTTCAGGACTCCTCAGTCCAAGTCACTAAGGGAAGGAGCCAGAAAATGATCCCCAGTTGCTTCTGGGAGGGATGGTGTTCTGGGTCTTGGACTAGCACCCCCAATTTCCCTCATTTGATGAAACCTTGAGCCTCTGCCCATCATATTCACTTCCTACTACCGGCATACCATGCCTTGACCTCTTTGCTGACTTGTACTAAATAATCCTTAACTCCCATGCCACTTGCCTGCTGTAATACCTTCTATGGCTCCCAAAGCACCACAGCTCCACACATCCCATTCTTCTATCCAACTCCATCCCCTTCTCCTACACACACCTGTGCTGAGGTCTCATTCCTCCAGCCTCTTCAACGCTCTACCTACTCCACACTTACTCCTGTTGTGTCCTTTGCCCTCTTCTGGCCTTTCTAAAACCCACAGCTTCCTGTCTTCAGGCTTCTATTCCCCCTTCTTTCTCTATTGAACCTTGTTTGTCACCACCCATGTGTCCATCTTTACCTTGATGGACAGTCATATATTTGTTCAATAAACAGTAAGTGATGATGACTAACTGTGTGTGTGTGTGTGTGTGTGTGTGTGTGTGTGAGTGAGTGAGAGAAAAACCCTGGCCCTGATCCACCCACCCAACTATGCAAGGCCTAGTGCAGAATAGATTATCATTAAAAATTGCATAAAGGGTACCTGAAGGCCTGAGACTCAGCAACTAGAGCCGGAATCTCAAGAAGACTCCACCTGGACCCTCTACTCACCATTACCTGTTACAGGAGGCATTCTGTTGGGCACAGGGTTCTGGTTCGCCAAACCCAGGCAGGGGGCTCTTGACATACACTCTAGGACCCTAAATGACCTGAATTCTCCCTATTTTTGCTGAACTCTACATCAAGGCCGCTTGATCAGACACCAGTCTTTCATTTATCTATAGAATCACTGTTACCCCTAAATTGGGGGACTAGAACTCAGTGGAGTCCCCTCCTGCTTCCTCTAGGACAGTGGTTCTCAACCTTCCTAATGCTGTGACCCTTTAATACAGTTCCTCGTGTTGTGTGACCCCCCCAACCATAACATTATTTTCGTTGCTACTTCATAACTGTAATTTTGCTACTGTTATGAATCAGGCGACCCCTGTGAAAGGGTCATCCCCCAAAGGGTCGCAGCCCACAGGTTGAGAACTGCTGCTCTAGGAGTTGTCCCTCCTGTCCACTGCAGAGATTTCAACTATCAGGGATGGAGGAGACTTCAGACCTCAACTCATCCAAACCCTTCCTTTTATCTGGGTAATCTAAAGCACAAAGAATTTAAGGTAGTTGCTTAGGATCACCTAATAGCAGAGCCATCTCCTGACCCTAGCCCCGAGGAGTGGACTTAGCATTCTGGGAAACTGGAGACTATAAAAAGAGGCACTGAATAGCATGCTGGGTTCATCCTGAAGTCTCATTCCAAGCAGACATAGGGTGCTACTCCACTGCATGTTGACATTTGTATATACATGGGCACCTATGTACACACATGTGCACATGAGTTCATAGCTATAGGGTTAACAGATGCCACTCCCATCTAACCCCTGCCCAGATGTGAGTGCCTGCTCAATTTTATGAGCTCCAGGATTGGAGACCAAGAGACCACCCTTCGATTCCTATCTGGGTCTTGGGCTTGCCCTCACCAGTCCCTGGGGGCTCTTCACTGCCTTACAGCACCCCCACTTCAAAGATGAGAGATGTGTCAGCCTGGGTGCATCCCTCACGGGACCTGGCATGTATTCACAGGTATAAGCCAGCCTCTATGTGCCCAGCTGGAGAACTGGTTCGCTTGCTACTCTCCCTTCCCCCTCCCAGTTTAAGACAAAGGTTAAAGTGGAGACAAAACCATGTGGGTAGTTTGGAATCTGAAGTCAAAACCAGCAAGCCCAGATCACTGCAGAAACGGAACCCTCCACTCCTTCCCCTACAAGCCCAGATCCATAAAATGTTAAATCATATCAACGATGATGATAAGGAGATGGCTGTGTGGCAGGCACTAGTCTCATCTTTTCCTGTGTGATAAATGATTTCATTTCACAACCATCCCTTGATGTAGATAATACATTTCTTTCTGTTTCACTGAGGAAGAAATTTAGGGGACAAATGTAACTGGGAAAGGCAGCCAGGGCAGGAATGCTTGTGATACACCCCCAGTAGGTAAGCCTACATCTTAACATAGGGCTCTAGTTCCAGAATTTCTTCTCAAAAAGCCTTGTTGTTCCATCTGAGATGGATGGTTTTGCAGGTATCTGTGTGTGCACACGCCTGTATGTATACCTTGAAAAAGACCCCCATCTAATTGCCAGTAAACACAAGTATTAATCTCCTGATGGGTTCCCTGCCTGACCCTGGACAAGTCATTTCTCTTTTATGACCCTCAGTTTCCTCTTCTGCAAACCGCCTGGCTGCATTTCCTAAACAATCTCTGAGCCCAAACCTGCAGGCCACTGGGTTTGTTTGTGTGGACTGAGTAATCCCCCTGTCACCAAGGAGGTGTGCTTAATCCCTGTCAGTGAGGAAGTGATGGTCAGGGCAGGATTCATTTCAGGAAGGGTGGCAGGTGGCAGGAAGCCAAAAAGCTTGGCTTATTTTAATCCATCTGCCCTGGCGTGAGGGTGGGGCGGTGACTTTGGTGTATGTTTGCGAATTTATATGCAGTGAGCCACTCTGGTGTAAGAACCCATTGCCTTCCAGTTATTTCTACTCACAGAGACCCTGTAAGACAGAGTAGGACTGCCCCAGGGGGTGTCCAAGACAGTAAGTAATCTTTACAGAAGCAGATGGGGACATCTTCCTCCTGTGGAGCGGCTGCTGGGTTCAAACACTGGGGATAGCAGTGGTGCACTTTCACCATGATGCCACCAGGGCTCCGAGGGTGGGAGTACCCTTCGAGAATTCCTACATTTAGAATTTTCCCAAGGCAATGGCTGTATCTTTCCCTGCCTGTGGGCAGTTGGAAGAGAGAGCTCTGGGACCGGTCACTCAGGAGCAGAAGAAAGGAACTAGCCTGTGCAGTGTGTCCACTTCTGTTCTGCAACTCCTGGGTACACATGCCTATTAACCAAGTGCACTCTGCTTGGGAGCTGGGTTCCCAGCAGGCTTTAAGGCTGGAGAGGAGGAGAGTGGACAATGGAGGAGGGGGTCTGCCGCCACCTTTCTAGGAGCAAATGGACTTCCTAACCCTCATACCACTGCCCTCTTCTGCCCCCAGCTCTTCCTTGGTTCTTTGCATCTCCAGACTGGAATTCACACCCCTGCGGTCTGGTATTCAGTAGTGACCAGCTGGTTCTGAACAGGCCTCCAGTAAGTACTGATGGGAAGGATGAGCGAAGCTGCCCTCACTCACACTTTCAGCCTTCTTGGAGACCTGGTGGTATAGTGGTTATGAGTTGGGCTGTGATCTGCAAGGTTAGCAGTTCAAAACCACCAACTGCTCTGAGGGAGAAAGATGGGGGTTTTCCACTCACTTCAACAGTAGGAGTTAACATTGGCTCAGTATGTTTTGTTTTGTTTTGGTTTTAGGCCAACACACACACACACACACACACACACGCACGCACGCACGCACACACACACACACACACACACACACACCTTATACAC